GTTATTAGGGCAGACGACAACAGCCGGAGTGGGATTTTAAAACAAGAAACAAATTGCGTCCCATATTTATGCTGTGACGTTCATAATTTAGATAACCATGACAGCCATACCACATAAAGTACCATGCACGTCTGTGCGAGAAAAGGTGTTCATAATTAGGAATCTTAATTTTTTTTTTTTAAATCACCATAGGATTATTTTAAACCTCGATTGCGGCTGATGCCAGGACCCTAATATAACCCATTCTATGGGTTGAATAGGGTTTATGGGACCTGTCCCCGGTTGATCCTCATCCAGATTGTAAAGGACCCTGGAAGCATGCTGAAAAAGATGAAGACAGGATGCTTCGATCAGAGTGGCTAGCTTCACTTGCAAGGTCACGGGTAGAGGGAATACTTTGGATCTTTTCTGCAGGCTATGCCGGAGTAGTGGGGAATGAACAGACCCACGGATTGGCTGGATCTGCACCCCTGGGTGATGAATTGATATATGACAAGGCAGATGTGATCAGAGCCCTTTGGTAACAAGTAACGAGGTCAGAAGAGAAACCAGATTAGTAAGGGCTGGGGAGAATGATGCCACTGGGTGTGATCAAAGGTTTCAAAGGGGCACACCACGCTCAGAGAAAAAGCAAGACGGACATACAACGAGACTACGACCGGCACTATTAGGATTGGAACTCTGCGCTGGCTGCTGATGAGGGGGACAGAGCTCGTATAGGAATGCCCCGTGCTGTGATATCAATTCTTGACAAAATCTGAATGTTGGGACTTTGTGTCCAGGGGTGGAAATTGCTCGATGTTAAGCCTTAAATTTCACTACAGACTGTGGCCAAAACGGGGTGAACTTTCACTTAAGGTTGAACGGAATAGTTAGTTTTTGTCTTGTCTTGCATTCAGATTGACATTTCGCAATCTCCGAGCGGTCACATCTTCGGGTAGCAGCCCGGAAGGAAAACGAAAAGGGGATGAAAATATTATATGTACAAATTTTAAAGAGCATCCGACAAACAACGGATGTTGCCGTCTGTATCAGACCGTACGCTTTTACTCCCGAGAACATTTTCTGGTAAACATTTTTTAATGTTAAATTTTGATCTACTTTTGAAATCACCAACAAGGGAGACAACATCTTAAAAGGTAATAAGCTATACTTTTTCTGATTATATCCCTTTGACGGTGATCAGTTGGGTCTGAGGCCGTAGGCCCATTTTCAAAGCTGAGGCCAGTAGCCCAAATTCTCACCACCCCTGTAACATGACTGCACACAGAGCAAGACTAAGAACCCAGGTTTAGAACTTCAAAGAAGTTGTATATAAGGCAACCGTAACGGTTTATCCAGCAGCCTACCCTGGTGTCCAGTTCTGGTAAGGGATTTCCTAAGAAAGGCGGTAAATGTCAACACAGATTGCGATGGCGCCGTCTTGTAGCAACTACACGCTCGCCTGCGGATAGAAAAGTCGTAGAGGTTCAAAAGTGACATTGGCTTTTAGTTCAAGCCAGCCTCAAATGGTTACCAGGTAAAGTCCTGGGAAGAAAAGGCGTCGTGGGCTGATGTTGACCTGATCACACACCGAAAGCTCATTGGTGTATAAAATACAGTTCTAGCACCATATGCCCAACACGCTTTAAGGCGAGGGAACAAGTTCTCAAAATTCAGGGTCTGATTAAGACAGACCCTTTCCTTGGATGCCACAGACTTAAAAGATGTTGGCTCTCCAGCCCCCTCCTCTCCCCCACAGCACCTTTATTTTCTACATCACTAGATTAAAATGGTTAATTACTCGCTCTGGTATTAAAGCCAGACCCACTGTCGCCAAGAAGTAAGCAAAATCTTATTCTTGTTAAGTGCACTGTAAAGAAAACAAAATCCTGCAATGAAAATCCCCATCAGCTCGTTTAAAGCATTTAGAAACTATGCAATAAAATAAATCTTGCAGTTTCAAGGAAAAAACACCGAGACTGTCGTGGTGAAAACGGGACATTTAGCAATGCTGTTTGTTAGCGTCACTGGTTATTCCCATCTCTGCTTTGCTGTTTGGCACATGGTGCTGTTTATTCATTCTGATGAAAGGCCTGATTCCACTTTATTGGCAGGTAGCCGGGAGGTTAGAGAATGAGGGCCTCGGCACCTTGAGCAAGAATCTCATCCTGGATTATGAACACAAGAAAAGTCGAGAATATTTTGTTTAAATATTTAAATCTAAAAATGATTGACTGGCAGAATATTCAAATGTAAAAATAGGTATACGCAGTATAACGACAATAACAACCTAGCAAAGATATGTGAGATGGTGTCGACAATAACAACCTAGCAAAGATATGTGAGATGGTGTCGACAATAACAACCTAGCAAAGATATGTGAGATGGTGTCGACAATAACAACCTAGCAAAGATATTTGAGATGGTGTCGACAATAACAACCTAGCAAAGATATAAGAGATGGTGTCGACAATAACAACCTAGTAAAGATATGTGAGATGGTGTGGACAATAACAACCTAGCAAAGATATGTGAGATGGTGTCGACAATAACAACCGAGCAGAGATATGTGGGATGGTGTCGACAAAACAACCTAGCAAAGATATGTGAGATGGTGTCGACAATAACAACCTAGCAAAGATATATGAGATGGTGTCGACAATAACAGTCTAGCAAAGATTTGTGAGATGGTGTCGACGGAGTTAAAATAGGTTGTGACTCAAAAGTTAACAACAGAGGAACAACACAGGTAGAAAAAAAGAGAGACCCCATAACGTTATGAAAAAGGAAACCGATTACAAACCGTCTGTCATCATCATTATCATCATTATCATCATTATCATCATCATCAATATCATCATCACTGCTATCCTTATCCTGATCATTTTCAATGTTGGCTTTTCTCGTTGAGCGACCTGGTGAGAAACAGTTTGCTGTCGATTACTTTTTGGATGGCAATGATGATGGTCATTCTGTCTTGATGTCGAATTTGTAATGTCACAGTCGATGTTCTGCATGGATGCCGCCTTGCTGTCTGTTTAATTAAGGGTCAACGTGTTTTTGTCTTTTTGTATAACAGTTTTAGAGATGTTCTTCCTCAATCGAGTACATCTTCTTTCTTGTGTAGTAATAGTTGAGTACATCACCACTGGCTTGCTAGGCCTGTCGCTGACCTGGCTGGTAGCCGTCTCCTCCTATGGGAGTTATTGTACCTTTAACCTAAAACTGACAAAGAATGAAATAGTTCGACCATTTATGAAGAATTCAGCAAAAATGAACTGCAAATGTGACTTTTTACAGCAAAACATCTGGGAGAAAGGTGAGAGGAAGACCAAGACAAAGGTGGATACATGGTGTAGCAAAAAGAAAAAAATATCAATCACCTAAGCCACTTGAGATGTGAGACAAATACAAAGAAAATTGCAAACAATTATTATTTCTAGATGCATCAGGGACATAACTCTAGGTTGTAAGTTAATAACACAGTTGTATCCCTTAAACGGATGTATTCATTCAACAGTTGCCGCTTGCAAAGATGCATGGGGTGCATTATCATTTGAATCACAGATTATTCTGCTTCAAAATACTTTGCAATTTGAATCGTGACGATAACGTGAAACAGTTTCCTTGCAACTTTTCATTGATTCTTAAACAGAATAGAAAATGTGTGTATTTGCCCAGATAATTCGTACAAGAGATACCATCACATGTATTCTAGCTGAATGATACAGGATCCATCAGTCGTTACCAAACAGCGAACATTATGGAGATTTGAAAATTTTTCATGTATAACGAAGCTACGACTTTTCAGAGCACTACATCACTAATGAAGAGGTTCGCTAAAGATTTTCCCAATACATTGGCAACCATGAACCTCTTCTAACTACCGTAAAAAGACGGAAAATGCGATGGTACGTACATATAAGACCTAACGGTTTTTACAAAAAAAAAAAAAAAAAAATTACAACAGGGTCAAGTAAAGGGAAAGAGGAGAAGAGGCAGGCCAAGAGAGGCCTGGTTACAAAACTTACGGACTGGACAGGCCTTAGGCATGCAACCATGAAGTCCATTGCACCTGATCGACAAAGATGGAGAAATCTGATCAGTCAGTCAGCAGAAACTGATCCCTAAACGATAAGCAGTCTTACGGGATGATGATTATGATGATCTAAGGAACAGAAACCACACCTACTCGTAGTTAAATGGGGATAGATTGTACAATGATAGAAATCTAACTCGTGTTAGGTCCCAAGTTTCTGAGTTCGAGTGATCTAAACAAGCCGATTAAGGATGAGTTGACTCACCTAATTGCATTAGGGTTTATTCAGTTTGGATTGCAAACAATGCATAGAGTTGCCCGTAGCTGACATGAAGCCTAGCGCTAAGTACAAACTCCTGCAGCTCCAGCAATTACATGAAAAATTACCCTATCGACAGGGGGCTGCAGTCGGGGAAAGTGGCCACAAACAGAGCAAGGCCTCTTAGGGGATGATCAATCTATGGGGTTGGGGGCAAAGGTAGGATAATGGGTTAATGCGTACCTGTACGCAAGAATGTCCTAGCTTCAAATATTCACTGAAATAAAAATGACATGGGCTGCTAGGCGAACGCAGTTTAGAACTTGTACCAGGCAATGTCCCGTTGAGTAAAGGAGGCCGTCATGATGTTGATGTCCCGTTGAGTAAAGGCTGCAGTCATGATATTGATGTCCCGTTGAGTAAAGGCGGCCGTCATGATGTTAACGTCCCGTTGAGTGAAGGCGGCCGTCATGATGTTGATGTCCCGTTGAGTAAAGGCGGCCGTCATGATGTTGATGTCCCGTTGAGTAAAGGCTGTCGTCATGATGTTGATGTCCCGTTGAGTAAAGGCTGCCGTCATGATGTTGATGTCCCGTTGAGTAAAGGCTGTCGTCATGATGTTAACGTCCCGTTGAGTAAAGGAGGCCGTCATGATGTTGATGTCCCGTTGAGTAAAGGAGGCCGTCATGATGTTAACGTCCCTTTGAGTAAAGGCGGCCGTCATGATGTTGATGTCCGTTGAGTAAAGGCGGCCGTCATGATGTTGATGTCCCGTTGAGTAAATGCCGTCGTCATGATGTTAACGTCCCGTTGAGTAAAGGCGGCCTTCATGATGTTGATGTCCCGTTGAGTAAAGGCTATCGTCATGATGTTAACGTCCCGTTGAGTAAAGGCGGCCGTCATGATGTTGATGTCCCGTTGAGTAAAGGCGGCCGTCATGATGTTAACGTCCCGTTGAGTAAAGGCGGCCGTCATGATGTTGATGTCCCGTTGAGTAAAAGCGGCCGTCATGATGTTAACGTCCCGTTGAGTAAAGGCGGCCGTCATGATGTTGATGTCCCGTTGAGTAAATGCCGTCGTCGTGATGTTAACGTCCCGTTGAGTAAAGGCGGCCGTCATGATGTACTGATGTGCACCCAAAGATGTAGAGTAAGAAGTCAAAGAAGTCGCACAAGAGAATATGAACATGAAAGCTATTGCGACCACAGAAGGATTCGAACACATGACCTGAAAGTGGCCACACATGTGAGCATACAATTACTGAAATGTACGAGCAGCTAAAAACGCTAAGTCTTTATTAATCTAGATCCCCCAATGTGAAGTGTGAGCCACAGTGGCGTAATGCACAGACACTCACCTGCCGACCTGAAGATCTAGAGTTCCAATCTGTTGGAGTTTTTACAACATTGATCTCGGCTCACAGACAGACTAATACTAATGGACTGCGTACTGTCGTGGAAAGTAAAGGCCACCGGGGTTGCGCTGAACACATTGCTCATAAAGTGGTGAATAATATATAAAATTATAATAGGGTCAGAATGTGCAGTGTGCACTGAAAATAGTCTAAGTGACTGATTTTTAGTGGAAACTGGAGTACAAGGCTGTATTCTGTCTCTCGTGTTTTTCGGAGTAGCCATTGATTGGGTAATGAAAAAAGAAAAATTGCAAAAGGAATACTGGCATAGACTGAGTATAGTAGACAACTGAAAGTATGGATTTCTCAGATGATATTGTTCGGTTAAGTTACAAAATGAGGGAAACTTTAAAAACAACATTATTACCAGAGGCGAAAAATTGCTGAGCTGAACGCCCTCTCAGAAATCGAAAAAGTTGCATGCAATAGAGTGGAGTGGAGGAATCGAATGCACGCCCTTTGTAGTGTCTAACGGCACTCTAAGGATGGTGACGTGGATGGCAGTTGGTCTAACAATATGTGCTCGACTGGCCAAAAGTGTCAACAAGGCCATTTTAAACTGTGAAATATGAACCAAATTTGAATGTAGACATTGAAATAGCACCAAGAAATCGACACCTACCGTGTAGATGATAGCCCCTGTGCCCATCCTAGTAGATGTCCTGGGAACATGGTTACAGTTCCAAATGTGTATTCATCAATGGTCACTTGTTAGGTGATTGTAACGTGCGGAGCTTGATTGTGCGGAGCGTAAAAGTGACTAGGGGTTGTCGCAATGTAACAAAAGGCATCAACACTTAACATGCCACTGGCCAAGAGTAACACAACATGATGAATGCTGAAGCTGCCAAACGTAGCGGAACGAGAACTCTCTTTAAAAGTTCCATTTGTGTATTGACAATATCGATAATCAACACAATGAGAAATATGCAAGTAATAATTCAACTCGTTCAACCAAAGCTCGCTCGTACATCCATGGACTGATATGTCCTCACGATAGGTCGCAGTCCGACCTTGAGATCCAGACAATCATCTTTGTGTTCAGTTTATCCGTCTGAATCAAATAATGAAGGTATACCGGCTTACTGCCGAAATGTAACGTTCACCAGCTTCCTGCTGAGGTCTATCTTGGAGTCCCGGGGTAAAACGTCCTCAAGGATCCAACTTTATATAACGTTTGCTTCCGTGGGATCCCGGGGTAGAGCGTCTTCAAGGATCCACACGTCCGTCTCCTTCGGACTATAAACATCGACTGCCTTTGACAACAATACCTTCACAACGTTACGTATTGTTTTGACGTCTTATTTGCTCACTCAGTACCGGTGCGTTCTAGTGCACATTCGCACGCGACAGTGATGTGGTCCGAACTGTCTGTCAGGAGGCGGTGGAGTGGATGGGCCGTCTGAACTCTGTACAATTGTTCTTTAAAAATCTGGGGGGGGGGGGGGGGGGGGGGGTGTGTGGGGGGGGGGAGTGTGAGGGGGGGGGGGGTGTTGCACAAGGGGCCTAAATTGTTTAAGGGCGGTAATTGTAATGAATAATGATGATGATGGGGATGGTGTTGACAATAATAATAACGTAACTTAACGTATAAGAGATTACTAAATAAATATAAACAGAAAAATAATAGCGGGGGTGGGGAAGGGGTGGGGGAGGGAGGGGGTGGTTTGGTTTTATGTTCCTTGGTGTCTGCTATCCAGCCCACTTCACGTCAGCTGATCAGAAAACTTACATACGGTCAAGAACGATCTGCCTAGAGACAAAAATAGTGACAACTGACAATCAATCAGTCAATAATGTGCCGTCTCCACAGTGAAGGTTGGCTGAGATGGATCTTTAACACGCCCTGTCTCTTGTGCTGGTTGTACACTCTTTCAGCTGCTGCCCATCCATTCTTGATGTTACTTTCCCAACTGTTTCGTTGCCTACCTCTTGCTCGTTTGCTTTCGACCTTTCCTTCTAGTATGGTTTTTAAAAGCGTGTTATCTCTTTTATTGTGGCCAAATAGTTTCAATTAACTCTTTTTTTTTATTTCTTTTTGTAATTCTCCTTTCATTTCACTACTGACAAACCTAAAGGAAAAATGAAGAATGGAAAACTAAGAGAGATAAATATGACTTAGTCATATTACACAATGACAAAAGTGGCTATACTGTGTTAGCTTTCTCTATAAAGTATATAATGAAGTATAATTCAGTATACGTGTTGACTCCACTCTTTTCATTACCATGCCAAAAGTGGCTATGAATTCAAATAACGACAAACTGACAAAGGACGCTAATCTAGACCTCCTTGGTAATAGCACTTAATCATCCATTATCAACAGTAGCCAGACCGCCAGCTTCAAAAACAAACACTTAACCACTCGACCGCAGCATCTGTGTTGGGAAGAGCTGCCACAGCTCAGCGACAGTTCACATCTCGTGGCTGCGACATGCGCCCACAGACTCGACACTCCATCTCCACCAAGTCAGGAACTTTTGTTTGCCGGAGATAAGGCGCTGCCGCTGTTAATACGAGAGCTCTTGAGGACCGAGTGATTAGAACATCATTGTCTCCCCATTGTGCACTGACCAAAACCGTTAAATGAAGTCATTAATATTATATTTGCAGCATAATTATTTTGGCGGCAAGATTCTGTTACCTAAGGCAAACAGTTAAGATCATAAGTCGCGTCTGAAACTCAGTCCCATAAAACCTATGAGATTTTCAACAGACTACGACGTCTTGATCTGAAAAAGGGTCGTTGGTTGTGATTGTTGTGGCTTCCTGCACAGTCCGTGGAGAGAAACGATTTACTTTCAGAATTCTTGGGTGTAATTATGTTCCAGGTCGTCAGGATGGGTGTTGTACTAGTACGTGAAGTTGCAGGAGGATGGTTATACGCGTGTGTGCTATTTTATTTGTGTGAATGCTTTAGCGCAAGTCAAATGAAAAGGAGAAAAAGAGGTTTGTGGCAGAAGTGAGGGGACGTGGAGTGGACAGGGGTGTGGGAAGGGGAAGGGTGTGGGGTTGGCATATTGTGATATAAAGAGTGAAAGAGAGGGTGAGAGAATGATTCACTGTTCTAACAGCACACTTGACTTCTGTAAGACTCTTCCTAGTCAAGTTATTTTATAATTGTGAAGTTTCCTGGTAATTTCAACCATTATTGACTGTAGCACTGGCTGAGCGGTTACAACGTTGAACTGTCTTGTGGGAGACCTGGTTTCGATCCCCGGTAAGGTGAAGGCGTGTTTCTGTCGGGAGCAAAATTAAACATCCCTACCTTCACGGTCCCTGTTGACAGCACTGGCCAAAGGTCCTGAATTCTCAGGCTCACGACCCCTTGTCTATACCGATCTTAAAAAAATAGTGGTAAAACAGTTGGCCCTGGCCGGCCAATCTAGATAGCCTAAACATTTTGAGTCTAATAAGCATTAAGTAGACATTTTTTGCCCCACTATCAACATTGGCTGCCAGGTCGGCGTAGCCTTAAGTAGGTACCAGAAAATGTCGTGGGAAGTAAAGGTAGCCATCGTGATACTGACCACATTGCCGTCCAGTATGGACTAGTTTATAAAAATACGAGTTTCGCTCATACCGGCATAATCTAGATTCTTTACTTTTTAATTTTGCTAATTGAATGCTTGATGCCGACCCGTTCGACTGCCTGTCTGCTCTGCCTGATGTTCGGAGGCCTGTTTTGTGTTTATTGTATAAGCTTTATTGTCAGAACGAATGAACAGATGCATGAAGAAATGGATGCATGAATAAATGGATGCATGAATATTGATTAGTGATTAATAATTAGAAAGGATTATCATTAAAGCACTCCAGACAGATTCATAGTTTCTCCGATCTCCTCCTCAAAAGCTCCACAAGTATAAAACGACTGATGACGCCGGTTCTGTGTTGGTTAATGAAACGTCTTGTCCTCTTAGTAAAATGTTCATTTCTTGCAGCTCCAGGCTGCACCCCCATGTCCATCTGTCTAGACAGGAATACGGAGTCATGTCCTTTGGCGTGTTTCTCGGAACGGTAAATGCAGCGCACGACATTGATAGCATCACTTCTGTCCAGTACTGGACCAGCCATAGCAACCGCAGTGTCAGCAAGATAGTCTGCACGCTCGTCCCCTTGAACACGCACATAACCTAGCACAAAGATGAAGGCTGACAACACATGGCCACCGAGTGGGCTGACAACACATGAGTGAAGATATTCGGGAAGTTAGGCGTCTATGCAACCAGCCAGTCAAACATGCCACTTTAAATCTGGGAAAAATTTAAGTATACGGATGTTTTTCGCTTGGATCAACCATTAGAAATTGCAAATGTATATGCATTATTGTAAGCAATAAATTAAGTCTCTCTCTCTCTCTTCTCTCTCTCTCTCTCTCTCTTTTGTCTCTCTCTCTCTCTGTCTCTCTCTGTCTCTCTCTCCGTCTCTCTCCCCTCTATCTTATAGTATGAAGCTCGCTGATCTACATTTCGTGCGATTTTATAATTGTCCATGATAAATATATCTCAAACTCGGGCTATCACACCACCACACTCGCCCTTCTCACATCTTTAACGTTATTTATCTCCGTCTTTTATTCTATCTCTCAAACACTTTTTTCTCTCTTTAGTTCCTTTTTACAGCCCACCCCTCCTTTTTTTACTCATACATCTACTCTCCCCCCCCTCTCTCTCTCTCTCTCTCTCTCTCTTTACAGCTAAGTTAGTTCATACGCTATTTCTCTTTCTCGTTCTTTCTTGCTCTATCTCACTCAATCCTTCCCCTCCCTCCTTCCCTCAAGCGCTCACATACAAATACTCTCTGACTCTTTCTCTCCATCTCTCTTTTC